TTTTCTTTTTGGTTGTCTTTTATGATCAGCTCCTGTTCCGAGGCCCCTCATGGGGACTCACGAGAACTCCAAAGTCTGGCAGGGGCAACTTTAGCTGATGGGCAGGGGCCCAGGTGGGCTGCTCAGAGGTCAGTTTCACTGAAGCCAAGCTTCCTTGGGTCCTTTCCTTTCCCTTTCCTTCCCTTTCTCATGGGATCCTCTTGACCTCTCCCATCCATTCTTGATGCTTTCTCAGGACTTTCCTGAGAAATGCTTGGAAGTATAGACCCCCCCCCCCATTGCCTGTGTTTCCTGTCAACTGGGGGAATCAAGCAGGCAAGCAGGAACTGATGGCATGTGTGATGGGGTAACTGGAGTGATTGCAGAGAAGGAAGGGATGGKGAGACCGAGACTATCCGGGTTTCATGGTTGGGGTGGGACCTGGGCTGTGGACGTACACCCGGACCCATTCTCCTGCTTTCCAATTTCTGATCAGTGTCTCTCCCTCCAGAATCTAACCAGAACCTGAAGGTGTGAGGGAAGCTAGTTACTGTGGTCTGCAGTAAAGAACAGATTCAGAGTTGCAAGGAGAACATTTTGTCCAATGGGGTCATTGTTTTGTGATGGTTTATCTGACATAACCAGCCATTTTGGAGAATTCTGTGTGCCAGGCACTGTGGTTGGTGTCTGGGGAGATGGCAGTGAACACCAGTCCTGCCCTGCTGASCCCTGTGGTCTTGAGTAGCAGTAAGTGACGGTGGAGGTGCCTCTCAGCCTCTGTTCAAGTGAAGGTGAACTAGAATCTACCTGTGACATCTGGAGGCTGCAGCATGAGTGGTATTGACAGCTCAAAATCTCTGTATCATTCTTGGGGCTGCATTGTGAGATGTGTCCTTCGATGACTGCCCACTTGCCCAGGTATGGTTGGCTCAGCATTAGAGAAAAACACATTTATACTCAATACAGTGACTGAGGGGACAAGAGACAAGGAATATGCAGAGCAGTCGGGCAAAGAGAATTTGTGTTAATTATAACACACGGTGCAAGATCATGCATGTACAATAAAACAGTGGGTGTGATGTTGGTGGACAAGAACATTGGCCACTTCACTGTGATCTGTTTACTCCCCCTAAACCTTTAGTTCACTKGTTAGAGAAGTACATTCCCAAATACCCCATGTTTGACTAGAGGCCCAGATGCGTGCCCCGCAGCAGACACGGAGGCCACTCATACCTAACAGCATGATGCTATGGAGTTAGTGGCTTCAGATCCCTTCTCCTCTCAGTGTGTCAAAGGGCTGGTGGTTGCTGGGTGGGGTCAGGATGAGGCCCTTCTCACCTGAAAGGCTAGCAGTGCAGCAGGCCCAGGGGGACAACTGACTTCAGCCTGCCTCTGGCCTTCCACCTTCTTTGCATTTCTTTTTGGACCYAAGCTGAGGCAGGGTGGCCCATTGCAATGGGACCTGGGTTTGGATCTTGCTTTTGTCACTTGCTGTACGATGCTGGGCACGTCAGGTGATGTCTCAGAGCCTCAATTCCCTCATGTATGAAACAGGGAGCAGGATACCTAGATTTAGAGCTTGTTCCAGGGTTATATAAGACATTCTTTAAGTGCCCAGCACAGGCCTGGGTGTGGTGTCCTTGGTGAATCCTCCCCTCCTCCCCAACACCAGTGCCCAGTGTCCAAAGGCTTATCTGTCCACCACAGTATCCGTCTCTGGCGTCTTACCAATCTCCTGGTGCCTTGGTAAGTAGTTTCCAAATGCATTTCCACTAGTCCTCTGAACATGAACTTAAGTTGTCAGCTCTGGCTTCTTGGTTTTCTCTTGTGGGACCAAACATTTGCTCTAACTTACCCTAGCTAATTACCTGGATGCCAGGCTGATTCCCAACCCTGCTGCTTTGACCCTCCCCTAGCACTTTTGAGTTTTTGCATTATTTGGCTCCCTCTGGTAGAACTAGAAGCCCATAGAACCCAATATAAGATACATTTAATAAACATTAAGTGAACTTCGATGAATGTAGTAACAAACCGGAGACCTGCTCACCCAGGGTGTCCCTAAGGTCACAGCTCTACAGCTCTTAGCCATTGTGTAGGGGTCATGGTGCCTTCAGTTGCCCCAACCCGCCATTGAAACTTCCCATCCCTGGGCCAAGGAGAGCCAGGCACACAGGATGACCCAATACTGGCTGAGGCGATAAGGCTATTGGAATCCAGTTGCCTGCTTGGGACCTGTGTATTCACTGTGGCTGAGTCTAGTTTGTATCTTTCTGGTCTTTTGCATCCAGAGATTATCTGATGAGGCAGCTAGGTAAACTGAGTTAGAACTACAGGGTGACAACTTCTTTGGGGTTTAAAACCATTGGCATTTCTTCTGTATCTTTATCTAAGGCCAACACTATACAGAACAAGTTGTATCTTTTAAGAAGATAATTCTGTCCTGGGCTTATATGGAGGACCAATGCTTTTCAGACTTCAGTGTATACAAATCACCCAGGGATGTAAAGATGCAGATCCAGCAATCTTAACACGCCCCTAGGTGATGCACATGCTGCTGGCTCTTGGCCCACCCTGAGCAGAGAGGTGGGTGGAGGGAGGTGGGGTATAGGGAAGCAGGGTACTCTCAGGCATGTTTGTGGTGTAACCAGCCCTACACTTGCACATTTTCTGAAGGACCTAGTTAGTAATTTGAATGGTCCTGTATGGGGTGGGGCCTTGCTGGGGTATTCTCATTCTGGATGGGCCCTGTGTTGTGGCCATGTGTGGTTACTTTTGGCTTTTAAAAAAAAAATGTCAGTTATTCCTTGCAGGTACATTTTGGAAAACTGCTTTTTAAGCTGGTATTTTTAAAAAGTGACTCCAGATCTGTACCTCTGGCCCTCAGTACTCCCCTACCTGGACCTGCTGTGACCTGGCTAGTGTTTTCCTTAACCAGACTGTCCCAGGGAGGTGACTTCAAGCTGCTCTTGGGAAGCTCCCCCTATCGACTCCTGGCTTTGATGAACTCAGTTCCTTTGCTGGGTGGATGGCACCAGAACTTTCTAGTAAATTTGAGTAACTGGTTCAATTCTATTTTGTTTGCAGCTTGCAAGAGGCAGGAAGGTTTCAGTTCTCCAGTTATCTGAGGCAGTCAGGGCTGGGGAGGGCAGAGGGCCTGCTGTTCAGCACTGAACAGGAAATGTCTGAGGGAGAGATAAAGAATTCGGTAGCAAGAGCATGAAACAGTTTTATTTGCTGTTGTGGGATGACGGGTCAGGAAAGAATAACAAGAAGGGGAAGGAACCTCGACCCCCTCCCCTGCCCCCCATCACTAAGGTAGGGCACATGGTACAGAGTGATCTGTGTGGAGTAAGTGACCTCCCCTAGCCAAACCTGCTGGCTGATGACAACAGAAAAATCCTGCAAGGGGAATTTCTGATCAGAAAGAAAAAGCCCAGGAAAACAAACTGTTTGCCTTTCGTATGGATTTCCTGTTTTAACATGGGTTTTATTTAAGAGGAGAAAGGAGGGAGAGTGGGGATGTCTGTGTCCCTGGGTTGGCTGAGGCTCAGGCCTTCAGGCAGGTATGGCAGAGGACAGGGACTTGACCCAGCCCAGGTGGGTACCACCTTTCTGCTTATTTGATTCCCATCTGCTCCCCAACAGCCAGGGCTGACTAGAGGAGCCCAGGCCAGCTCTGGGGGAACCCACTCAGGCAGAACCTGCTAGTGTTTTAACTGAGGAGTGTTTGGCTGGGGTGAGCTTCCCCATGGATATCTGTGAATGGAGAGAACCAGAGAGGCTTCAGGGAGGTCTTGAGAGGGAGCAGGACTTGGAAATGTCCAGGACTGCACTGTGATAGAGGTCAAAGGCAGAACTTTAGAATCTTCTAGAACTGGTCTGAGTGACTTTCTTGCCTCACAGGTTCACGTATCCTCTTTGATCTTTGCCGAAGCTCAAGGCTTTGCACTGAGTCACAGGGGCAGCTCTGCGAGTGACCTAAGTCCTTCCCCCTCCTTCTCTTCCTTTGCCGCCAGAAAGCTGGTGGGGACAGGAGAAAATGCCTTCATTCTCATGAAGACGCCCCTCCCTTCCAAATCAAAACAAAACTCTCCCCTCCACATATCCACAGAATAGAACTTAAAATTCAAAACTAATCTTTAAAAGAGAAATGGACCAATAACTTTCCAAGTCCATCTCATAAACACTAAAAAACCAAATCACCCCAAAGCCAAGAATATTAGTCTGGACTATTTCATGACACAAAGTCTCAGGCTGCCCTCCCATGTCTGTCATTAGTGTCTCCCTGGGTCATTTTTAGAGGTTCTTCTCAGAACGGCTCTCCACCTATAGCCACTGTCCACACACCTGAGCCAGGCGTCTCATCAGAGCAGTACAAGGTGACAGACACCAGGAAGTTGAAAGGCATTTTGTAGTTTAGGAGATGGAGATGCTTTGAACACTCTGAGCTTCTCAATTTGCTTTATTGATAATATATGCACCTTAAATACTAGTTGATTTAGCTTTCAACTAGTAGACCACGTTCATTATATCCCTACTTCAAAATCACCGATTTACAACTGATTCTGGCCAAGGAAACTTGTTAGCAAAATATTAGGATTGAACTCAGTCAAACCTAAGACTGATTTAGAAGCCAAGTATTATTCCCTGTTCTCACCAGCTGCTGCTTGATTGCCCTTGCCCCATCCTGTAGGAACCAGGCATGGTGGGGCCCACCTATAGTCCCAGCTACTCAGGAGGCTGAGACAGGAGGATCCCTTGAGCCCAGGAGTTTGAGACCAGCCTGGGAAACAGAAGAAAAAAAAAAAGTCCATCTTGTAGGGCTGTAGGATTCTTCTGAGCTCTGCTAACAAAAGCCATATACCTCACTACCCACATCCCACTTTCTCTGGGTGATATCGGTTGATCCAGGTCTGCGACCCCACCACAGCCTGTGTGTGATGGAGGCCGAGGAATTTACCACGGAGAGGGCCAAGGTGACTGGTGAGACCTTCGTCTCTACACATACACATACATCTATATATAAAACAAAATATTTTAATTCTTTTTACATGGCTACAAACTTTCTTCAGCCAGGTGACACCTGTCTTGTGGCTACAAGGTGACCATGCAGTGACATGAGTCAGCACAGGTCATGCCCGAGCATCAGGACAAGTCGCGATTAAAATTCTGCACTGAGAGCTAAGGATTCATGGCAACAAGAGCCACCGTCTCCTGAATCAACTCAACCACGGCTCAAAATGCAGTCTGTCCCAGTGCAAAAGCCACAAAACACGTCATACGTCTTACCCCTATACTGGATTTTTATAAAACACATATTTAGCACAATCAATGTGCTTATTATGCACTCTAACATAGAGCACAGGAACGAGACCGATGGAGCACAACCCCCGCCATCTCCACAGTGGCAAAGTGTGCAGACCAGACAGGTGCCCGCAGTGGGATGGCAGGAAGGTAGAGCCACACTCCACACCTTTCTGCGACTCCTCCAACACTGAGAACTTAGTCTTTGTCCGAATGTGGCAGGAGCAGTCACAAAAACAATGTCATTTCCTAAGGGCAGAAGATGCCAACCTGGAACCGAGGGATTCTTAACCAGAAATCACCCAGAAATCGTTGCCCCAAGTCAGCTCTGCAGAGGGTGGCACTGACTTTGGGGGCTGAGGGCTGACGCAGGACCTCTGACACTTGCACACTCACATCCACATGCCCCCGGAGGAAAGTGCACTTCCAATGGCTGATACAAAAATAGATTGGCACGCTCTTTTGACACAGGGAGGGTAGAAAAGTTTTCCTTCAGTTCTGCAAATCTGCTTCCCTCGTCTGCTCTAGCACTCCGTGCTCAGAGTTGGAACGGGTCTGGAGCGAAGGCCCAGGGTCACGCTGGCAAGGTGTGCATGCCTGGCAGGAAGCCCCTTGGAGGCAGCTGAGTTCTTGCTAGGTAGGGGCCTTTGCTGTCCTCAGCATGAATCTTCTTTTCACTTGCTTGTGTAATGAATGGCTCACACTCTTCTAGGCCAGCCAGACTGAAGACTCCGTGAAGTTTCCAGTACTGCTTCTCTGCGAAAACTATGACGAGGATAAGAAGCTTGGTACTTTTGAGTTTTATTTTTTGCATTTCCAGTAGTGAACTCTGCTCCACGGCGCTCAGAGGAATGGTCCTTCACCCTGCTGGGCCCTGTGCTAGGAGTTCTGGATCAGGCGTCTGTAGTGTGGCATGACTTCGTGCTCTGGTAAATGGAGTGCAAATTCTAAGGCCACTAACACTGGGAATTCAAAGGCAATCAGTTCTCGCCTATTGAGCCGGAACTTCTCTTCCAGTTTCTGCAATAAAATTAAGACATTTTAGTTTTAAAATTAAAATCTAAGGGGTTTTCTTCCAAGTGCAATTTCCCTATCCATCAGCTAGTGAGTGCTYACAGAGAAACTTACAAGTCTGTTTTTTGTTGCTTTCAGAATACCTGAGACTGGGTCACTATAAATACCAGTTCTGGAGGCTGGGAAGTACAAAGTCAGGTGGTCACACCTGTTGAGGGCCTTGTACTGCTTCAATTCCTGATGGAAAGTAGAAGGGTGAGCAGGTACATGCAAATGAGGGACAGCCTTGCTTTAGCATGAGCTACTCTTGTGGTAAGTAATCTAGTTCTAAGAAGAACAATTCCCAAGAGAAAGGCATGAATAATAATAATAATTATTATTATTTAGTTGTTAATAGACCTTTATTTTATTTATATGTGGTGCTGAGAATCGAACCCAGTGCCTCACACATGCCAGGCAAGTGTGCTATTGCTGAGCCCCAGCCCAGGCATGAATTCTTAACACCGTCACCTCTCAACACTCTTGAGATGGGGAAAAATTTTCAACATGAGGTTCAGACGGGGCAAACCATATTCAAACCACACACCTATTACAAGCAAGGCTCTGGAAGAAGAAGGGGAGCTATGGACGGCACTTCCTGCCATTAGTTCCGGTGGCCTGTGGTCTGCCAGGAGGCTCACATAGGTCCCATCACTTCATTTAATCTTAAGACTCTCACAAGGTTGGTATTGCACTGATCTCCATTTTACGGGCTCCAAGAGGTCAATCACTTGTCCAAGGGTGGCAGACTGCAGTGCTGAGAAGCAAACCGACATGAGACTCCAGCACCACCCTGTTACATCTAAGTTATTCAGGTCTAGAAGTAAAACTAAAACGGAGCCCATCACCTACAACAATAATAACCACACCTAAGTTCTGAATGCGGGGAGATGATTATTTGCAATTCATTCTTTTCATCTTACCCACAGGGCCTCAAGTCCTGGTGAGGCTGCCCTACTTTCAATGTCACGTATGTGAGCTGTGGCTCCCTGCCTGTCCACCCARCTGCAGGGGGATGGCATTAGAAATGGAGAAGAAATCTCACCAGTAGAGCTGTTGTTGCTTGCACTCAGATTATAACTGAGATGGGCTTTTTTTCTTTTTTTTAAAATTTAGTTATACATGGCAGTAGAATCCATTTTGACATAATTATAAAAGCATGGAATATACTTAATTCAGTCCCCCATACCTTACTTTTTCCTCCTCTTTATTGATCTCTCTGCTGACTTAGGTTTATTGCTAATGCAAATAGCTTTTTAAACCATTACTGATATATTCTGCACTAATACTATCAGCATTTGCTGTGTGGCATATTATTTAACTATGATGTGAACAGTATCATAATTTTTATTAATATTTCTCAAGATTCATTAGTTCAACAAAAATATATACACAGGTATAGAGTAGTTCCACTTTATCCATGGGGGATATGTTCTAAGCCTCCCTAAAGATGTCTGAAACCACACATTATACCTAACCCTATAGATTATTATTATTATTTTTTTACTATATATACACACCTATGGAAAAGTTGAATTTATAAATTAGGTGCAGTAAGATATTAACAATAATAACTGTTGGTAAAATAGAGTAATCACACTATAGTGAAAGTTATGTGAATGTGATCTTAATTATTTATGGWCCTGTACTCATTCTTCTTGTGGTGTGAATTGATATAATGCCTCTGTGATGAGATGAAGACCAGTGATGAAGGCATTGGGATGCGTTAGGCTACTAGGGGTCATGTCAACACAAGTACTGTGACACTGGGAGAGTCAACCTGGCAAATCAGATGGCAAAGTGACTGATGGGCAGTAGCATATGCCACGTGGGTATCCTGGACAAAGAGATGACCCATGTCCCAGGACACAGTGGGACAGAGTGAGATTTCATCACGMTACTCAGAAGCGTGCAGAATTTAAAACAAATTGCTAATTTCTGAAATTTTCCATGTAGTATTTCTGGACTGGCTGACTGTAGATGGGCAAGTACCTACCTCAGCTCTTTTCCTTTCCCTTTGCTTCTCAACTAAAAATGGTGTTCCCTAGCATGGCCTCCCATGGCTGTGGCATGCCTGCTGTCTGGACTGTATGCTTGTGTTTCTCACAAATCCATGGGTGCCCCATACCCCATACTAGGAGGTGAAGCCTCTAGGAGTAATTAGGCTCAGAGGAGATCTTAAGGGTAGAGGCCTTATGATGAGACCAGTGTCCTTACAAGAGAGACCAGAAAGCTTGCTCTATCTCTCCCTATGCAACTAAGGATACAGCAAGAAGACACCTGCAAGTAAGGAAGAGGGCCCTCATCAGGAATCAAAGCAGCTGGTACTTTGACCTTGGGCTTGCCAGTCTCCAGAACTACAAGACATAAGTTTCTGTGGTTTAGGAGATCAAGCCTACAGTATTTTGCTATGGTAGCCCAACCTAAGACACCCCTCCTCTTGGGAACTGTGAGTAATAAACCTATCTTTTCAATGGCATTTGTCTCCCGATCTGTTGGCTTTCCCGTTCCCCAAATTTCCTATTACTACACTGAATTTTAAAACAGGTATTCATGCATTCACCCTAGGAGATCAGTGTTTTCTTGCTTTGATGAGACTCTCCTTTAAAAGAAAAGACGATACTACCCAATGCTGGGAGCTCTTTGGTCTTGTCCAAATAGATCATCCCCCCATCCTAAGAGAGCCTAGKAGAAGGCATCTGACATTGCTTGTGGGAAGGTCAACTTCATGGCCCTTAGCTGTGTAGAAGTAAGTGTCCCCCGGCCACCAGGATGAAGGCTACTTACATCAATTAAATGCTTGACTTCATGCTTTTTGAGGTCACTTCCGATCTTGGCTGCTAACAGCACACAGGCTCCAGCACAGAGCTTCCGGTTCTGCTTGTTGAGCTTTCCCTTGAGGGCGAGCTTCTCAAAGTAGACGAAGGCCATGGCCACCGTGGGCTCCTCGAAGCCACAGTCCTCCTGGGCAAGTTTCCGCATCTCCCGTTTCAGACTAGACAAAGAGAGCAGGGGAGAATCTCACTAGAACYCAAGAGTTTCAGGGGACCCCCAAAGAGGAGGATGACTCCATCGGGAAAGCATCTTCTCTCTTTCATGCCCAGAGGGTGATGTGGGATGGGATTAGATCCCCAGAAGTGTGAAGGTGACATTATGTGTGGAAGAAGGCCACACAGTTGKGAGTCTGGACCCTCCCTGGTTGGTCTGGCTGCCCAGACCATGTTCACTTTTGCCCCAGATCCAGTGCCAAAAATYGCCACTTCCAGGAGGATGACAGACAGGCAGCAGGCCAGGCAGACAGAGGGGCCAGCAAGGGCGCCAACGAACATGACGTGGAACATAGAAGGACCCCACTGAACACACGTGGATATCTGAGGGTCCCCTTGGAAACTAAGGGCGGAGCTATCCCGAGTCAAAGAGGGACACCATCTGGGGAACTGTGCTCATTCCAGGGATGATAATAGAAATAAATCAGGCACTTGGTCTCAACTCTGCCAAATATCAGTTATGTTCATTAACTAGGACAGAAAAGGAGTCAGCCTAAGAGCACATCAACCAGTGTCCTTGGGAAAGCTGCCCAGCAAACGGACAAAGTGTGAATACTTGATTTTTCTCAAAGTTTTTATGGGGGGGTTCTTTGGCTTGGAACATGCCAGAATCAAATCTTATCAGGATATACACTCTGCATAAATACATACTGGCACATATTCCAACATGACATGGCTGTGTAGCCTAGCTTCTGTTACCATACACATGTATGCACAAACACCTGCAATCATGCTATCACGGCACACAGACACTAGTTAGCTCCTCTCTGGCCCAGCAGGGTCAGTCACCTTAACTATTTGGCTGACAGCCAGGGTCACCATAGGGTTGATCTAATCAACTACATGGGAAATACAGCTTGTCTTTTTTTTTTTTTTTTTTTTTTTTGGCTGCTTTGGTGACTACTTAAATACAGGTCCTAGCTATCATCTCTGGGAAAGTGATTTTAGATAAAGTTATCCCATTCCCTAAGATATTAACCCTTTTCTCTTTGGCTTTGCATATACTTGAGAAACCAGAGAACTGAATGTCACCCATTCTGTTTTTCAAAATATACGTCTCACTGAGCTGGCACACTGCATGCACATAGCCTGAAATGTTTCTTTCACTGAATGAAGGTCCTTCCAGATCTGTGTCAATCATAGGTCTGGAGCTTGGCCTTCTGTCCTGGCTCTCTGGACTCTCCCACCACATCCAGGCACGAGTCAGCCAGCTGTAAGACTTTTTTTTTTTTTTTTCTTCCTTAACTGAATGTGACCATGCTTCATTCCTCAAAGAACAGAAAAAACCATCATAGAAAGCATGAGCTTAATGCGGGCTGGAAGAGAGGCTAGAAGGGCAAGTTCAAGGTGAGTTAAGGTRACATAAGTTTCCCGTACCTCCTTATTTTGCTGAGTGTCAGCTTAATATGAGGAAACTTCTCCTTGAAGGTCTCGTTCATGTCCTTCTTGAGATCTGAGGGCTTCACATAGTCAATTACTGTGGTCTGTAACAGATAAAGCAACACAGGTCACTCATTAAGTAAGGGTCCTGTGAACTAATGATGTGCAAGTCACAGCCAACTTACAACTCCAAAAATGTGATGCAAKGAGGAAACTCAGATTAGAGCCACAATTAGGGTCTCTGCTGAATCCAGGAGGGACAGTGGCTTTCTGGAAGCTTATGGAAAGGAAATCAATCACCTCATCCTACTTAGAGTCATCTTTAAAAAAAAAAAAAAAACTAGCCTGTAGACCATCAGGAGAGAGGGAGGGGAGTCTTTCTTTACTGCATTTCAACCTATGGTTCACACAGTGCGGTGCTTAAAGGCACCAGGTTTGAACTTGCACAGATCTGGGTTCAATCCGCAGCAGACCATTCATCAGTTGCAGGTTTTGGAAGATGTATTTAATCATCCTATCTCAAGTGGCACGTCTGTAAAATGAAAACAATAACTGTACCTACTTTACATGGCCATTGGAGAACTGTGTGAGAAGTCAAGAGCTCTTGGCATACAGCAAGCACAATAAATGCTAGTTACTGTTTTTTAAATGTATTAAATTGACTAGGGCATTACAGTTATAAAAATAGTGGGGTTCATTTTTGACATTCATAAATGCATAAACTGTATTTTAAAAATTAGAAAATGTACAAAACTTACCATTTTAACCATTTTTAGGTGTAAAGTCTAGTGGCTTTAAGTACATTTCACATTGTTAAGCACCCATCGACTCCCTCCACCTCCAGAACCTTTTCATCTTCTGAAAAGGGCAGCTCTGTACCCATCAAACTCTAATTCCCCATCTACTCCCTCCAGCCCTGGCAACCATCACCCCACCATTTTTCTCTGTGCATCTGCCTCACGTAAGTGGAATTATGTATTTCCCTTCACGTCTTCAAGGTTCATCTGCACTGCAGCATGTGTCCGAATTTCCTTTCTTTTAAAGAGGCTGAATGACATTCCATTRTATGTATATAATGGTAGCTATTATTAACAGTCCCTTGAAACTTGAGTTCCTCCCCGCTCTCTAAATTCTATTCATCCCYGAAGACTGGCTCCTTTGAGCGCTTTCTGAATATTCTAGTCTTCCTTGTTCCTCCGTGCCCTGCACAGTTAACTGTCAATTAAACAGTCTTTTGCTGGGCTCCCTGGTTAGTCTCATCCTTCCTTCACTGTATGCCTGCCAAGGGCTGGCTCCCTTCTGGCTGACTGTATGGCAAGAATCTTCACCAAGCAAAGCCAGAGGAAGCAGCAGCTGCAAATTCGGATGTGAAGGCCCATTCCCAAGGATGGCCCACTGCCAGCAAAGCACATCCAAGGTTTCCTTAATGGCTCTAACAAAAGTTGGTGGCTTTCTCCGATCATTTCCAWGTATGAGATACTTGGTTTGATTTTTAGAACAAGCTCATGGAATGTCTCTGGTGGTAGTTTACAGCCAAGAGCATGCAAACAGCTAATAGATCCCAATTCAAACGGATCTTAATGGTACCTTCTCTGCTTCTCTGGAGAATTAAAGCAAATGGTCCCAATATGAACTCCCAACCTGGCTTAGAGTTTTGTAACACATGGGTGAACAAAGATTTAGTGCATCTTCTTCCTGATACTTGATCAGGAAGGGTCTCCCTGGGGCTGGTCCGTGACATGTCCATTCTCTTAYGCGCCAGTGATGTGCTTTTTGAGAAGTGGCAATCCAACTCTGATCAAAGTATTTGGACATGTGCATCTGTGCTTGCACTGTGTGGCAGGGAGGGGAGGTGCACTTGGAATTTTTATGGAGGCCTCTCTGGCTGCCAAGGTCASGCAGAGTGGGCACCGCCCTGGGGCAGCTCTCCAAGAAGGATTTGCCTCCCTCCTGCTTCAAGAACCACTTAATTTCATCTCAAAAAACATCTCTGGATTGAAYAGGATGTAAGATAGATGGATAGATAGATCTTTTTATTTCCATTCCTGAAAGCAGGATAGATAGAGGGTTATCATCTACCATGCTTGCCTCCAGCTGGGCCCACCAGCCAGTCCTTGTATCCTGAATACCCAGCACAATGCCACCATCTAGGTACCCTGACATACCAGACAGGGCCCTTCTGCTCTTCCGCTGTGGACAAAAACCATGAGACTGGAATGATGTGAGCAGGTTTAAGCAAAGTGTCACTTGCCTTTGTCGGGGGCCAGAAGCCCTATGAGTCCTGAGCAAGAATACCCCATTCTGTAATGATCATTTGAGTTTTAAAACTGGTTTCCATGGAAATGTCTGAGGCAATGGGAGGCCTGGATCCCACCCTGCAGCAACTACAGCAGCTACCTGGACAGTGCTTCTATGAAGATCCTTGCAACAGTTCTCTTGAAAGAAGGCCCCACTACCCAAAGAGAAGTCTGTGAATGTATCCCACCCACCCCACCTGATAGGAAACTGAGGTTCAGAGTGAAGAGGCTCACCCCGACCTCAGCCAGCTGCAGACAGGGCCAGAGCTGGGAACTTGGGTCTTCCAGACTGGTTGCTTCCAACTCATCCTCCCACAATCCACTCCCCCTACCAACAGTCCTCCTGGCTTTTCTTTCCTTGACCAGACTGAATGGGCAGTGAGAGGAGCTCCCACCTTAAGGGGCCCTTGGGAGGTCTGGAGAAGTTGGCTGACCATAGAGAGGGCTGAAGTAGTAGCCTGGTGGCTTCCACTCCAGTGTCAGGCAACACAGAGAAGGTCACTTAACATGTGGTCCCTCTCTGCACCAAGACACATTTCCTAGGTGATTTCTACGTGCTGAGGTCCAGGGAGCTGCACATCCAATTCTCCCCGCCTGACTAGCACCTGTTCCAGGTTCAGCTTGTGATGCTGCTTCTGCAGGCTCATCCTGCTAAGCCACCCCGCTGCRCACATGGCTCTTCCTGTGACTCGCCTTCATGAAACAATAAGCTCTGGATGTCCATAGTGAAGGGCAAGACAGCTAACAGTTCTATTTCCCTATGACTTTGTACTTAGGAGCCCCCAAAATGATTCCAGTTTTCCCTTTAGAATGCTCTGGTATGAGAAGGCAGGACTGGAGAGATTACACACCTGTCATTTTCGTTGCCAAGATGCACTGAGGGAGAAGTCCTGGAGTCCAGTTTGTAGCCTGGTGTCCATTTTGCGGGTACAGACCACAACAAGGACAGCRTGGGTCTGGGGCTCGTGGTCAGTGCCACCCTCCAAGCCAGGAGTCAGAGTCCTGATCCCAGAGAATGCAAGTTTCTGCAGGGTGGCTTGGGGATCATTTCTGAATTTTGACTTGGGCTGTTCTGTCAGCTTCCTTAATGAATCTCTGAACTCTTCRGTATCTACCCAGCTGCAACACACCCCTTTCTTCTTAAACTAGCAAGAGTAGATATGGAGTTCTGCAACTAAACTGGTAAACAACACACTCGATACTTCCATTGACGGTCTTGGCCACTACCCCTGGGGACAACAGGATAAGAGGAGAGTGTCTGATCCCCTGGAGGTCTAAATGTCGTCAGGTCACTGGAGACCACTGGGGGTCTTGCCCCCTATCTCTGACACACATTTCCTGGTGAGTCCAAGCCTCAGAATAACTCCTGAATGCCAACTCAGCCCAACCCATGGCCTTGGTAAATCATGCTTATCAATCAGAGCACTGGAGGCTGGTGGAGAATATGAAGTGACTATTAGTCTCCTGGGGCTGCTGTGACAAATGACCACAAACTAGGCAATGACAGCAATGCATGGACTCTCAGTCTCTGGGCGGAAAACCTGAAATCCAGGTATGAGCAGGCCGCGCTCCTTCTAAAACAGAATCTTGAAATAGAAACTCTGGCTCTGGGTAGAGACCTTCCTTGCTCAGAGTTTCTGGTGGGCCCTGCTTGTCCCTGGTTTGTAGATGCCACWGCTCTAACCTCTGCCTTTGCATGGTGCTGTCCCTCTTGGCTGTCTTCTATGACTCTGTCTCCTTATGTGGACAAAATCATGTGAGATTATGAGGCCTACTCCAGTCTGATTGCATCTTAATTTACTTTTGAATAAGGACACATTCTAAGGTAGTGGAGGGTTAGGAAATCTTTGGGGGGACACAGCTCTGCCCACTAACTCCTCATGATGCACTCTGTGCAGCTCGGTGGACCCTGACCCTCGGCTTCTACACTGAGCCTAGCTTTGCCCCTCACAGAAGGCCTGAGCCTTGGTCTGACAGAGGACTTCATAGGTAGCTTCCTTCCCTGCCTCCTCTGCTGGCCATGACCACCCTTCTCTGTGTCCCCGATTCTCCGAGATGTGGCTCAATGGGAAAGAACTGACTCAGGAGCCAGACCTCTGGGTTTAAACCCAGCTCTGCTGTGCAGTATCTTGGTGGCCTCCGGCAAACTGCTTAAGCATTTGGGCTTAGGCTTCCTCCTCTGGTTTCTCCATCATCTGCTAGATGCTGATGGCTGTGGGACATCTGCTCAGGAGGTGGCTCACATTCAGCACACAGGATACTCATTTGGAACAACAGAGTCAGCAGCCCCCAAAGTAACAATCTGCCCCAAGACCCTTGCTCAGACAAGGCCTTCATCCAGAGTTGAGGTTATAAACAGGCCAAATTCTTGGTACTAAATAAATCACCCTGTGACCAGGTCCACCTCTCATGTCTTCAGGTATCTGAGAAATGATGTCCCCATTGGCCTCTTACCCCAGGTTCCAGTATCTGGAGCACAGCAGGCTGAGATTTCTCAGCACARTCCTGGACATCTTGAGGGAGCCATMTGATAACACTCAGAGGCTGGACATCTCAGCCATGTGGGAGACCACTCTCTTTCCAGCCGTGGTCATGAAAAAGAGGCAGTACTGGGAAACTCGAGCTACAGGCAGGGATTCCCAGCCCCTAGCCTTTCTTTCTGGCTTGGGAGAGAATCAATTAGACGTGAAGCTGTTGCCTTGTTTAGGCTCACCTACTAGTGGAATTGTAGGAGTTATAAAAATTAGCAATGCCTGAGTTTTGCCAGAGTGTGTTATTATAAATCAAAGTGCTAATTAAGCAGACTG